TATAAGAATTCCAAAGCATTTTTGTTAAGGGAAAATCATTCTATAGTAGTGACAGAGATTGAAATGGGATAGCCAGGGAAGGGGAGCCAAACAAAAACTATGTGTCCTAGATATCAGTGGAGTAATCAAGTTTTTTCAATTGCTCACTATGGTAAGAACTGATAATTGGTTATTTCACATACTAAAAAGGTGAAGGACTTTGGTGACTTTCCCAAGAGCAAGGACAATGAAATGGAGGACGCTCTGGAATAATAGGAACACAGGTGAAGTGTAGTCTAGAAAGCTCCCAATTTTCCATCCAGAGCCAGAACCAGAGAGCCTTTATTTACCTTGTGCTGGGAACACATGACAAATTGTTGAACTTTCCCCCTTTTCAAAGTAGTCTACACCTTACTTTCCTTTTTTAAACTCATTTTTTTTCACAGACTTAAATAAAAGTGATTGACTCTTTTTTAAAAGTTATCTTTATAATCTTACTCTCCCTCCCTGAAATAATACCATGTTAAGAATAATTGGATTGCCAGGCATGGTGGCGCATGCCTTTAATCCCAGCAGTTCAGGAGGCTGAGACAAGAGGATCTGGGGTTCAAAGCCAGCCTCAGCAAAAATGAGGTGCTAAGCAATTTAGTGAGACTCTGTCTCTAAAAAAAAAAGTACAAAATAGGGCTGGGGATGTGGCTCGGTGGTTGAATGCCCCTGAGTTCAATCCCTGTTATCTCCCAAAAATGAATGATTTGATTTAACAAGTTCCCATATGCCTCATCCAATCATCCACTCATTTTATACATAAATTATTTAGTCACAGATATAAGTAGCTAATCTCACCCTACACATATGAACTCATTGTTTAAACTTATGGGGTCTGTTTACTTTCAACTTGTGGTATCTATCTCATTGGCACCCTCTTTGGAGATTGATAATTAGAAATATATATATTTTGAAAATGTTCTAACAAAGCATATCACATTTTAACTTCATCCACTTCCACTACTTATTTCAAGATTTCTGATACTGATTTCTTTGCTAATGCTCTTTCAGTGGTCTCCCGTCTATCCATCCATTCCCTCAACAAACTTGTATCATTTGGGAAGCGTAAGGAGACCATAGACTTCTAGCAATCCAAAATAGATATAGTCATACAATAAGGGGCAATTTTTCATACTATAAATTTCATTATTTGATACACAAAATATTTTAAAAGATATTCTAAAACAAACAAAAAAATGCCATAGAGACATGTAACTCTTATCCATCTTTAATGGAAAGGTGATAATGCAGTATGCTTAACCTTTTAATAACAGAATTATTTGGGTGAATACACTGTAATATTGATATAGGCATTTAGTAATTTAAAAAAAAAAGATATTCTGATGTGTTTTCCCCTTTATTTTTCTAAAAGCTCATTTCAGGGGAAAAAAAACAAGCAATTTTAAAAGCTCAAAAGCTTAGTTGATAATCATAGTCGGATATTTTCAGTTGGAAAGAATTCCTGTGACAGCATGAACATACACCCACCAACATGTCTGTAATAGAAAGAATTTCAGAAGACAGTAGACTGCCATGGATTTCCCAGGGCCTCACAGCAAGACAACAGTGGTCTTGGGGTCTGATTCTTTCATCTTTCTTGAAGATAGACACTTTCCAGTTGTCACCCCATAGGGAATCAGGAAGTAGGCTAAACCATCCAGTAAACTTGAAATTACACAACATCGTGCCAGTGGAAATATCTTATCCAATGTTATGATTTATTTTGAAGGAGAATGGGGAAAAAAGGGGGAAAAAAAAGAAAGAAAAAAATAAAACCGACACAAGGAAGCTGCACACACATGGCCAAACTGCTGGCTGGTTTTATATCCCAGAAACAGCTTGGGATGAGCCATATTCACAAGATCTCTTGGCAGAGTAGCTTGAGGAAAATACCAAAGCTGTGAGGAGAAGTGTACTTTTGCTGAATATTTCATGGAGCTCTCATGTGGGTTAGTAACCTAAATGAGAACATACACACCTAATTTTTTTTTTAAGTCTTTGTTTAAGTGAGAGATTTCTGACTCTTTAAATAACACTATAACATTAACACCAAAGATACATTAATAACTTTTGAAAACTATAATCTTAAATGATTATTAATTTTTTCATTTGTTTCAAATAACACTTTAGGGAAAAGTTCAGGGAAAACTTGAAAGAAATGTAAGCATGGATTCAGGGGCACTGGTGACTTTGTTTGGATGCAAAAATTAACCTTTAAGAGATACTAGTTTTAAGGACTTCAAGCTTTTGTTTGTTCATTCTTTTAACATTTAATTGATGTCTCTTTAAGTAATGAAGACAACTTAATTTTAAATATTTATTGGCTCACCTGCTAAATGCCAGAATTGTGACATACACAAGATCTACTTTACTCTTAGAATTTCCTACATTAGAAGTGGTTTAAGATGCAGTGTTTTAGGTGAACTTACATTTTACCATGTTCCAATTTGTTGATTATATGAATTTATTCTTCACTTAGTATCCACTTTAAATTCAACTAGCTAGAATATTTCACATTCTGATCATGAGGCATTTTGAGTCTTCTTTGTGACATCAGAATTAGTTTCTCATCTCAGAGTTTGCTATATTTCTCTAGTGACTCAAGTGGTTTATTGGCAGTCAGTTTGTAAAATGCTTACTGGGATTATCTAAATGCAGGATGTTAGGAATAGAAATAGATATCATTGCCACTCCTGTCAAAAATATAATTAAAACAGGATATATAATCTTGAAAATGTAGATGAAAAATCCCAGGGGATGATTTTGAGTCACAGGTCCCCAGTGTGCACATGGATTGTCCTACACCAGAACATCTCCTGCCCTGGCACAGATCTCCCACTTCTAGTGTTCCTGTCTCATTAGCCCTGTGTCAATATATGCATTTTCAGTTCAAAACCTATCACTTAATTTAAAAATTTTGATTAGACTAAATTTATTGCACAGGTGGGAATCCATTTATATAGTGCAAAAAAGTAAAAGTAGTTCTTTCTATCATTATATTATGGATCCTTTATTTTTTATTATCACACATATTTCAGTATAACCTTTACTGGTCAAACATTGATGGATATCTGGTCATTTCCTGTTTTTATTTTGTTTTGTTTTGTTTTTTGCTGTAACACCAAATACGCTGAAAAAAAAATATTGTACTCATTCAAGTCACTATAACAAAATTCCATAGAGTGGGTGACTTGTAAACAACAGAAACTTATTTCTCAAAATTCTGGAGGCTAGAAGACTGAGACTAGAGTGACAGCATGGTATGGTTGGGTGATGATGGAGACTTTTCCTGAACTGCAGACTGCTGACTTCTAGGACTGTCTCATGGTTGAAATAAGGTAACACACTTGTATCCTCTTTGGATATTAATTCTGTTCTTTGAGGGCCCATCCTTATGGCCCAATTACTGCTCAAAGGCCTCACCTCTAAATATCATCACTTTAAAATTAAGGATTCGGTATATAAATTGGGGCAGGAGTAATGGAAACTTTTAGTCTATTTAACATAGTCCATATGTAATATGATATGTGTATTATTTCATATCTGTAGGATAATTCCCCAAAGTAGAATTTCTGGTCCAAAACTCTACATTTCTCATTTTGACAGTTATCGCTAACCTGGCTTTCTGAAACATTTTTCAATACCCCTTAGACTTGCATCCCTTAGTCTTGCCATCAGAGATTATTACCAGTATTACCAGTATTGAAGAATTTTATCAACCTAAAGATATGGGGGGAAATTTATCCATATCCTTTTAATCAACATTTATCTTATTATGAGTAAACTTTAGCATTTTTATCAATAGTTTAAAAAGCAATTATTACATTTCTATTTTTTTTCAAAATTGTCTTTATGTCTTTTTAAACCATTTTTGTGTTGTATTGTTGGTCCTTTCCTTTGTCAATTTATAAGAGTTCTTTAGATGTCAGGGACATAATTCCTGTATTTGTACCAGGAATTCTTTTTATTTTGTTCAACAGTTTATCCTTCATTAGAATTTTCTGTTCTCAAGATAACCCTGTGAGAATAAGCCATCTTTGGTATGAGTTTGGAGCAAAGATTCCGGGCATATCTCCATTTTTACATTTAAAAATTGTCTGATTAGATTGTATTTCTTTTGGTGTCAATTGTGCTAAATTATTTTTCTAAAAGATTTTCTATTTCTTCCAGATTTAACATATTTTCATACATATATTTTTCATAGGGTATATTATGTCTTTGGTACATTTTTGTCTTTTTGTTCTACCAATTACTAAAATGTAAATGAATCACAATAACAACAACAACAACAACAAAAAAAACCCACTCTACTAAATTTTTGTTACCCTGGGCATAAGTTTGTCTAGTTTTCATTATAATCTATCAGTTTTTACTTTCTATATTTTATGTATGTATATGTGTGTGTGTGTGTGCGTAAATATGTATACACATAGAGAGAGAGATGATTTCAAGTTCAGAATTAAGTTCCTGATGGATTCTTGCTTTTGTCAGATATTTTCTAACTGCCCCCTCTCCCCTGCTTTTTTTTTACTAAGTTTGTCCCACTATGTATCAGATTCTTCAATAACTTAGGGTGCAATAATTTTCAGAAAAAGTTGATTTATGAATTTATTGAAATCCTAGGAAGGGACGAAGTTGCAATGTCCTAGAATAGAGGATATAGGTAGTTGTAGTATATAGTTTATAAGATATAAGCAAATGAATTGCATGCTTGGATATTAGAAGAGCCAAAAAATATATCAGTTAGCTTGCTGTGGTGAGTATATGTGAGCCTGCATATATCTAATTGGGAGAAGAAGGACCTACTTTTATTTTTCTAAGAAAATAGGAACAAATAAAAACATATCTAATTTCGGTAAACTTGAGTGTTCAATTATTCCCCACATTTTGCAGATTCACATTTCTCTGATCAATGGAAGACCAAGTGCTGATGATCCTTCTCCTGAACTGCTAGAATTCACCTCTGCTCGCTATATCCGCCTGAGATTCCAAAGAATCCGCACCTTGAATGCCGACTTGATGATGTTTGCTCACAAAGACCCAAGAGAGATTGACCCCATTGTCACAAGAAGAGTAAGTTATAATGACTGTGAATGAGCCTGTGAATGATATAATGCCCATCTTTTTAATTGTCTGTTAAGAAATTTAAAAAAGAAATATTTAAGTGATTTGTACAAGTAGTTATTAGCAAAGATTTTAAAATTCAGTGGACATTCTTTTGTTCAAATTGAAGTCTGCAACTTATTAGGTGCATAAAATTTGTCAAACCTTTTTCACGTTATTAAACTTTAATTTCCACTTTTGTTAAATGAGTATCATAATGTCTAGTTCATAACCTCCCCCCCTTTTTTTTTTTTTTGAAGTCTGAGTACAGAAGTAGTCTTTTTCACTTTAGGTGACCTGTCCTATTAGTATAATTTTGCTGAGTTATTACTGAAAGGACAGGGGCTTTGACATACTTTTTTCTATGACCCTCACTAAGAAATACACTTTTTAATCATGACCCAGTATAAACACACAGAGAGAAAAATAGTGCAATTTATCTTGAACTTTAGTGTGCACAGAATTAGGTGGTGTTCTTGTGGAAATACAGATTTGGATTCAGTAGGTCTAGGGCAGGGCTAAGATTATTCAATTCTAGCAGTTCCCAACTGGTATCAATGTTGCTAGTGTGTAGACTATTCTGTCTCTGTAAATATTTTTGTTTTAGGTTTTAATAACAAATCATGAGCCATAGTTTTTTAAAAAATAACACTACTATCTGAGAAAAGGGATACTACATACTGTTTGATTTTTATTTTTGAATAGAATGTAACAAAGGAAAACAAAGGGTTAAAGCTTCTTTTCCACAAATTTTTGACCATAGAGCTAACAGAAGTGCTGCTTTCCAATGTGAAACTGGGATTTGTTAGATTGTGAAATAGATGGCAATCTCAGATTGCTATGGGTGATAATTGTGCTTCTTTGTGCCTGTCTACTCTGTACCCCATTCACTGGTTTATGTCACTTCCCTTATATGATGCCACACAACATTATTACTGTGAGATTCAATTCAGCCATAAATCCATAAGGTAAATCCACGCTACCAAGAAATCCACTGTAAGGCCAGAGGTATCGTAAGAAATAGGATGGTAGAGAGAAATTAACATTGTGGGAAACCACTTAATTATAGAAGGAGCATACCAAGATCAAACTTCTACCACCAGTCACCAAATTGCTTTACCACTAAGCTGAATACAACAGTTCCTGAACACTCCTCACATGTTTTTTCATTACTTAATTCCTCATGCATAACTTCTCCATCATCACAAAATAACTTCAAAAGTTATAATTATCCCCATGAAAGCTATTTTCAGATGTTTTAGTGCCCTGTTTTTTCCAAAACTGAAACTACTTTACCGCATACTATATTTCAATGTATTGTCAATTGCATTATACAGAAGTAATCATTATCTTATAGCAATGTTTAGATTCTTTGCATGTTTCAAGAAATCACTTTTAATTTCCATTTTGGCGTGACTTAAAAATCTGCACCAAGAAAGACTGAATAATATTGAAGTGAAATTTATTCTTTCTTGACAGTATATCTATCAGGGAAAAAAAATCAATGAAAATAAATTAGTGTTCCTTTTATCATCTTTTGCAAGAGTCAGAGTGGGAGTTGGGGTACACATCCATTATTTATGACTGTGTTGTACATGAGCATTTAATGCAGTGCAGTACAAGTCAACATATAAATGTGTTTTTTGAAAGTACTGAAGTTTAATAAACACTACATACAAATTTAAATATATAAAAATAGGATATTGAATTTTAGCCCTTCATGATTCAAAAGCAAAACATTATGCATTTATATTTAAAATCAATTTCCCAATTTTAAAAGCATCTGCAAATACTACTGTGCCAGCTTTTTGAGCAAATATCTCCATTTGTATTAATATTATTAAGTGATAAAGTGAAAAGGAGATTTATATGTTATCCCAATTTCCTAACAAGTTCCATTAGTTCAAGGTCTAGGCATATCAAATACGATAATGTATAAAAATATTTAAAAAGACACTATATGTAAATAACAAAAACAAAAGGAAGAAGAAGGGGAGGAGAAGAGTAAGTAAATAAAAGGGATTTCTAGCTAGGGAACTCAGATCTGTGTCCACATGTTTATTATTACTAAATCTGGGATTTTTTAAGGTATATTTTTGAATAATAGTTCTGCCTTCCATTGAGAGTAATACTTGGATTCCATATGGTAAGGTAAAGGGCTCTGACAATTATGCACATGTTAATTAAATTTTTAATAATACTAACTCTGTAATTATGAATAATCTTTTTAAAAATAGCTGGTAGATTAAAATAATTAGGATCATACCCCTTTATTAGCTTCAAATAGAAAGGTAATTATATGGACATTTTAACATAATAATAAAAGAGGCAAGTGTTCTGCACATCGAATTTGCAGTTCCTTTTTATATCCTTCAACGTTTGGGTAAGAAGTACATTATTATCAATTTTCCCTAAATGTGTTGTTTGTTTTCAGATCTACCAGACAAAATACCCTGCATATGATTTGTGAATACAGTTTTCTATTATCACTATTAAAGAGCCTTTCTCTGAAGAAACCATGTAAAACTTTTATGAAGAATTACCATCCTTAGCCCCATTTAAAAACTGCTTTTAGCAATGGGTATTCCCGCATGGCCTTTGTACTGCCTATGGGAAAGAAATTTATAAAATGCCCACCTAACATAAATTAGAGGCATTCTTTCTTTGGGCTATGATTACAAATCTAGAAGTTACTTCATCTGTTTTGTGAGCCCTCACTTTTCTTCAGTAAACAGAAGCATGCTTCAAACCAAGGATAAAAGCAAAAAATGAAGTTTCCAACTGAATGTTCCCTTTTGTGGCTTTCACCCTGCAGTCATCTTAACAGGATTTCTTCTCTGGATTGCTTTTTGCAGTATTACTACTCAGTCAAGGATATTTCGGTTGGAGGGATGTGCATCTGCTATGGTCATGCCAGGGCTTGTCCACTTGATCCAGCGACAAATGTATGTATATTTATAGGATGCTTAGGCAAAATGAAGTGCTCAGCTGTAAAATGCTTCATGAGCCGCTTTGCAGGCAGGGAGCACTGTGAATGGGTGTCAGGTCCCCACTTAGACAGTGTAACAGAAAGCCATGCCAGGGTGAAATAGAGCTGGCAGTTAAGATGATAGACTTTGAAGTCAGCCATCACATTATCAGAAAACAGATTAGGTTTTTTTTTTCTTTTCCCAAAAAATGTTCTAAACTGGTATCTATTTTGAAGCTTCTCTAGCTATGACAGCTTGCTGCATGATTTAGCTTTAGAGAATGCCTGCCATCAATCAACCTGTCCATTTCTTTAGAAATGTTTAATCAAAAAATTAATGCAAACAAATGAAAAATGTGCATGGAAATAAATATATAAATGGCCATGGAACAGGAGATAGGGCAGGAGCAATAAGGAATAGGTGAGAAAGAGGATTAAGGAGAGTGTTGATATCAGCAGGCCAGAAAATGCTGGAATGCTTTTGGGTAAAATTTTCCATTAATGACAATGTATTTGGTCAACATAACATAAAGAAGAAGATGAATGAGCATCTATTTTTTTTTCTGTCATAAACAAACCGGTGAAATTAATAATCAACTACTGGGCAGTATAAAGAAGAAATATAATGAGTAGTAAGATCAGTGAATGTTGGTAGGGTTATAGTTGGGTTTTGTTTTACTTTTGCTTCAACAAATTGTATGATACTTGACATTATACTCATACCTAGTTTTCTGATTAATAGATCATATAATGTTATCTCCTAGGAAGATTCAAAATCCTAGTATGTTTTTCTGGAAAAGAGTTAGAGTATTTTGTTACCTGGTAATATGCTGTCAGGGGTGTTTTCCAAGCTTTGAGAGCCACCAGGCAACCTTAGAAGGGCAGTGGCATGTGGCAAATGAGACCACTCAGAGCACACACAGATAGGAGAGCTAGCCCAGGGACACTAGATTTCTGTTCCTCCTCTGCCCCTAGATACAGAGTTGGGGGAATCAACTCTCTTCTCTTTTACTATATTCAAAAAATTTAAGGATACTTTGAGTGAAGACTTGAACTCGACACATCTGACTCAGAAAACGTGTGCATATCAGAGAATTCGGTGTTAAGAACACTTCCCATTGGTCTTCACTGATTTCTTCCAAACCTAAGCCCTTGATTCCAGAACCAGCCTGGATCACCCTAAGCTGGTATTGATCAGAGATACCCACTGCTTCCTGCCCAGGCTGACCCAGTTTTGGATTTTAGTACCTAGCCTAGAAGTCTTCTCTTCTTTGTACTGCCTTTTAGAAGGAATCTCTCTCTGTGTTTCTAAATAATGTTCAAAGTGTCTCCCACTTTGTGGCTAGAAATCACGCTGTGAGTGTGAGCACAACACATGTGGCGAGAGCTGCGATCAGTGCTGTCCAGGATTCCATCAGAAACCTTGGAGAGCTGGGACCTTTCTGACGAAAACTGAGTGTGAAGGTATGTTCTTGAGAAGCCTACAGAGTGTGTCTATCTTCCTCTCCTGGAACTCGGGTAGCATAGACGTATGGAGATTTGAGATACTGTCCTCATACATCCAGTTTGTATATCTTATCCAAGGCAAGAGCTGATGAACTCTTTACCTTGCTACCTTAGTTTTCCAGGTTTTACTTGGTTGTTTTAATTTGACACTTTTGAATTTACTACTGTGGAAAGATTATGAGAACATGTAAAAGTATACTATCATCATAAGAACAAACCTGATGCTTCTAACATTTTATTTATTATATATAATATAAAATATATTTTGTGTATTATATATATAATATAAGTATATTTTACATTATATATATATACACACACACTCATAGAAATGCAGATAAATATTAATTAAAACCTAGACTGTGTAGAGGCTAGCCTCCCAAACATATACACTTAGGAAATTGTTCTGAAGCATATATTAGCTCCAATTCTTTCTGGTTGTTCCCTTGACAGTCTGATGCTCTACCCCTTTTTTCCTAGTAAATAGTCCTTACATACTCATTGTCTGATGAAGTGTGGGAAATAAAAGGTGAGAGATTATCCTCACATGTTAAAACCAGGTTATTATCAGAAAAAATTCATTCATTAGGATTTGATAATTATACTTATTAGAGGTACTGTTTAGGGCAGAATCTAGGAAGGGTACAAGGGTAAAAGGTGAGAAGGCAGGAGATGAAAATTGTGAGAAATGAATGCTTATCTTTTTTTTAATTGACATAATAATTCTACATCTTTGTGGGGTATCTTGTGATGTTTCAGTACATAATTATACACAGTGTATAATGTTCAAATCAGGGTAGGAATATCTACAGATATTTATCATTTCTTTGTGGTGTAAATATTCAAAATGCTCTCTTCCAACTTCTTTGAAATATATAGTATATTATAATTTCCCATATTTACTCTACTATACAATAAAATAACAGAGCGATGTCTTGTGTTAATTAGCTTTCTGTTGTGACAAAACACCAGGCAAAAACAACTCAAAGGAGGAAACATTTATTTTGGCTCACAGTTCCAGAAGTTTTAGATCTGTGGTAAGGCAGAGACATCATGGCAGAAGAGACCGGTAGAAGAACACTGCTCACTTTGCAGCAGCAGGGGTGTGGGGAGAAGCAACTTGGGACCGACCCGGTACCCTTTCAGGTTACATCCCCAGTGTCTTCCTTCCTCCAACCTGACCCCAGCTCCTACAGCTCCCGATACCTTCCAACAGTCAATTCAATTTGACCTGTTAATAGATAAATCTGTTGATGAGATCAGAGACCATGTGATCCAATCACTTCCGTAAAGCTTCACTTCTGAACATTATTGCATTGGGAACTAAGCTTTCAGCAGATGAACCTGAGCAGAACACTTCAGCTCCAAACTATAACAGTATCTACCGACCAACTTTGACTCTCCCTATTCCCTTCTCTTCCTGACTTCTGGAACCCTTATTCTACTTTCAACTTCCATGAGAGCAAATTTTTTTCTTGATTTAACACATGAGATTGTGCTTTATTTGCCTTTTAGTGCCTGGCATATTTCACTTAGCATAATGCCTTCTTGTTCCATCCTCATGATCACAAAAGGAAGACATCATTTTTTCTATAGCTTGACGGTATTACTATATGTATAGCTATTTGCTCACAAACATCTTTAAATTTTGATTAAATGATTTTTTAGGCTTATGGAATATCAGCAACCACAGTGGAAAAAGCATTTTAGGGTAGGGATTCTTCCTGATACCTTTGACATTGTGTCAAACAGTTATAATTACGTAATATTAAGCAATTCTGCAAAATTTTTTACACTTTTCACACACACACACACACATACACATATACACACACAAATACACATACAATAACAAGACCAGTTCAACTTGTCAGCCACAGAAATAGACTATAGAAAAGCAGATTTCTACTTGCTATTATCTATATATTGATCTATCCATATATATATAGATAGATATAGATATAGATAGATAGATAAATAGAGATATGTATTTAAAACTCTAAGATTATGAAACTATTTTGTCTTTCTCTGTAGGGCAGAGAGTGGGTTATATTTTCAAAGAGAAGAATAAACATTTCAAAGATCCAGAAATTAAAGATGGGCATTTTAAGCATAAAAATCTTCAAATAAACAATGTGCTTTGGGCAAATGTATACATTCCTAAAAGTTTATATTAAAAAACAATTTCCAAGTTGAATTGCATTCCAACTGACTTAATATTTATAAATTCTTCTGTGACATGATAAATCCCTCTATTTAAAGGATAATCATCTTCTAAATCACTTAATTGGGATTTTCATTAGTATAGCTTATTTAAGGCAAGATGTATCTATCTCTAAAGAGCAACTAATATTCATTGCATTGCTAATCCTTTACTTACATGGTAGTTTCATAGCACATGTTTTAGACATTCTGCTAAACATCAAGTTGCTAATAACAGCAAAAAAAAAAATACCTCTTTTTTTGTGTTGTCCCTGTTGTCAGAGTCCATGAACATAGAACTGGGCAGGGTGGTGATAGACAGCAACCAGAACTATAGGTAGAGTGTCCTGGCTGTAGGAGAGCTCTGAAGAAGAACTGTCCAGGTATTGATGTTACACCTGCAATAACTCTCAGTTATAAATATACTCAGCAACACTGATTCTAAGTTGCATAAATTTGCATTACTTCGTATTTCCCTCTGTTTATACCAGCATCAGAAATCCTCAATTTCGGGCTGGAGATGTGGCTTAAGCGGTAGTGCGCTCACATGGCATGTGTAGGGTGCTGGGTTTGATCCTCAGCACCACATAAAAATAAAATAAAGATATTGTTTACACCAAAAACTGAAAAATAAATATTACAAATTTTCTCTCTCTCTCTTCTCTCTCTCTCTCTTTAAAAAAAAGAAATCTTCAATTTCTTTTTAACATGTTCAAATGGGATGCTTTAAGCATTCTTGTGTGTTGTCCTAAATACAAAAATTATTTATAATACAGAGATTTGTACTTATTACTATATGATCACTAGAATGATGCTTGAAATTTCATTACTGTAGCAAAAGTAACTATATGCTAAATCCAAAGTCAGCAAATTGGGGAAGGTACTTGAAAGAAACTTGGAGAAGAGACTATCCTTACTATATAAAAAATATTATTTATCAATATGAAAAAATTCAATAAACCTGCAAAAAATGAGCAAAGGTAAAAACATGAAATTCTCAGGGAAAAAATCTTCTTTAAAATTTAAGCAAAAGATAATTGTATTTATAATAAAGTTTTCCAATTACAACACTAAAATATAATTTTAACTTAGTAAAGTAAGCATTCAACCAATTCTTGCATGCTTACTGTGTCCAGAAACGGTTTTAAAAGGATTGATATGACACAAAATTAGTGAAGCTTTGGTTAACAATTCCATCATATTTATTACTAGGGGGGAGAAATCTACCCTACCATATCTAGATGGGAATTTTTAAAGCTAATAAAATTTAACTTTTATGGACTTTGTGACTAGAAATTATACTTCCAAGAATTTAGCCTATAGATGTACTCATATAGGTTTACAGTACATATTATCATGATCCTATCATTATTATGCAATTGCTACAACTATTGCTACTAACATTCATTGAGGTGAGTAGTTAGTAGTCTGACATTCATCTTTTGCATTTGCAAAACAGCTGTCTGAATACTAAAATAATACTAAGATTTGAATTTTCTCCTCAAAGTCACTCAACTGACAAACAGGAAGTGATTTTAGAATTATAGACCATGCCCTGGTATTCCCAATATGTATGCAATGTTATTTAATGGGGGAAATCTGAAAACAGTGTAACTGTCTATTAATAGGGACCTGAGGTAGTACCCAAGGTAGCCTTAGAAGATGTATATGCTAATGTGGAATAAAAGCAACACAATTCACTGTTAGTAAAATCTCACAGTTCAGAACACTGGTCATGCTTTCTAATATAAAAGGAAAATTGAGCTGTGTATGTATGTGCACACCTATAGACACACACACATCCATACCAAGGTAAGGACAGATATGAAACTCAACATCTGAGGGAGATGTTGAAAAGGAAGAATATTGGAGCTGGAGTTTTAGCTCAGTGGTAGAGTGTTCACTGAGCATGTTCAAGGCCGTGGGTTTGATCCTCAGCACCACAAAAATATAAAATAAAGATATTGTGTCCAACTACAACTAAAAAGCAAAATATTTTTTTAAAAGGAAGAATGCTGTATAAATTATCTTTCTCTAGTTCCCATCCTGATAGAAATTCCACATGATTTTTGAGGGCTTTGTCCTTTCTGGGGAAAGTGATTTTTCACTTCTTTGATTTTCTATAATGCAACATGAAAAATACGAGGAAGACTAAGAGCAGGACAAATCAATTTGGAACTTATTTATAAAGCATTATGCTAAAGATTTTACATGCATTATCTCACTCAATGCTTTTAAATATCCATATCTGGTAATTACTATTGATTACTCATGTTTTATATGGAAACTGAGTCTTAGTGAAATTAAGAAGTTCTGCACATCACATGACTAGTAATTAGAGGCGAGGACATGTAAATCCAGCACTGCTTGGTGCTCACTTTGTCCTGATTACTGGATACCTGCCTTATATCTTATATCACTCACCAGGTGGAATGTGAAGGCCTGTGGCCCTGGTAAGAAGTGCAGATTCTGGAACCTAACTTCAGAATTTGATTTCCAATAAAAATTAGGTTAGCTTTTTTTAAGTTAGGATACTTATCTGTGGCTTGGGTTCCTAATACATGAAAAGAGATTTATTTCAATTAAAATCTACTGTAATAACCATAAAACAACTAGAATAGAGTCTGGCATATTAAAAAAGTAAGCTTTAGTTGTTACTAGTAGTAAAGGAAAGGAATTATATTCTGAATGTTCTTTTTTACATGTAGTGTCTAAAACTGAAATTCATATACAGTAATTATTCATTACAGATGACCTAGTTGCTAATCATTCAGTACTATCATTCAATAATTTATAATTTAATATAATAGGAAATTGTAGGCTGAACTATGTGAACCTGTTTCACTTTTATATATCAAAAGTCAGTAAAATATCATCAGTTTCATGATTCAGCTTATATTTTGATCATTTCATATTTCATTAAAAGCACAAACTTATTAATATATCCAATAAATCCAAATACTTTCTAAAGGTATTTGTGTATGTCTGATAAATTATAACAGAAAATACTTTTTAAATATGTCTGAAATCTGAGATTAATGTTTGCTAATTTATTATTTTCTAATGTAGCATGCAATTGCCATGGAAAAGCTGAAGAGTGTTATTATGATGAAAACGTTGCCAGAAGAAATCTGAGTTTAAATATACATGGAAAGTACATTGGAGGTGGAGTATGCATTAACTGCACACAAAACACTGCTGGTATAAACTGTGAGACATGTATTGATGGCTTCTTCAGACCCAAAGGGGTAAAGTATATTTTTATATCACAGTTATTTTTGCTTTTTCATATGAAGACATAGGATGCAAAAAATAATTTTGACAGGATTTCTAAGAGGAGTTATTCGACTTCAAATTTTAAAAGGTGACTAGAACTTTTCATCATTGAAGCTGATATAAATCTTTAAAGGATATAAGACATTTGAATAGCCCTAGAAAATTTTATTGTGCCTCATTCCAGTCAATACTCACCCACAGAAAACTCTATTCAAATTTTTATTTTTTTCACGTAGCTTTCTTTTGTTTTAAGTTAGTGTCATGTGGATGTACATAATAGTGAGATTCACTATGTTATATTCACATATGTACATAGAAAAGTTAAGTCAGTTTCATGCCACTGATATTCCCTATCCCATCCTTCCTCCATTTCTATCATTGCCCTTTGTCTACTCCTATGATCTTACTTCTGTTCTTTTTTAAACCACCCCTTCTAATTTTGGATTAGCTTCTGCATATCAGAGAAAACTTTCAACTTTGGTCCTTTTTTTTTTTTTTTTTGGACTAGCTTATTTCACTTAACATGATAGTCTCCAGTTCCATCCATTTACCAACAAGTGCCATAAAGACATTCTTCTTTATATCTGAGTAACACTCCATTGTGTGTGTACATTGTAATATATGTGTCACATTTTCTTTAACCATTCATCTATTGAGGGGCATCTAGGTTTGTTCCATAGCTTAGCTATTGTGAATTATGCTGCTATAAACATTGATGTGGTTTCATCACTGTAGTATGTTCATTTTAAATCCTTTGGACATGCATCAAGGAATGAGTTAGCTGGGTCATATTGTGGTTCCATTCCCAGTTTTCTGAGGAATCTACTTACTGCTTTCCAGAGTGGTTTGTATAACTGTATCATTTTCCTCACATCCTTCCCAGCATTTTTTGTTACTTGTATCATTGAAAATTTACATTCTGACTGGAGTCAGAATAATTGGAGTGAGATTCCAGTGTAGTTTTAATATGCATTTCTCTAAATGCTAGAAATGTTGAATATTTTGTCACATATATGTTGATCCTTTGTATATTTTCTTATGAGAAGTATCTATTTAGTTCCTTTGTTCATTTATTGATTGAGTATTTTTTTTTGGTGCTAAGTTTTTGTGCTTTTTGTATATCCTAGTTATTAGTGCTCTGAGGAGCAGGTGATAAAGATTTTGTCCCATTCTGTAGATTCTCTCTTCCTGCTCCTTGATGGTTTCCTTTGCTGTGAGAAAGCTTTTTAATTTGATGCCATTCATTTATTTTCTTTGCTTTAGGAGTCTTATTTAAAAAAAAAAAAAGTAAGTTCCTGAGCTGACATGTTGGAGTGTTAGGCCTACATTTTCTTCTAGCATGTGCAGGAGTTCTGGTCTAATTCCTAGGTCTCTGATCCACTTTGAGTTGAGTTTTGTGCAGGATGAGCAATATGGGTTAAATTTCATTCTAATACTTATAGATTTCCAGTTTTCCCAGCACCATTTGTTAAAGGAGCTATCTTTTCTCCAACATATATGTTTGGCACCTTCATCTAATATGTGGTAACTGTATTTATGTGGAGTTTTCTCTGTGTGTTCTATTCTAATCCATTGATGCTAGTATCATGCTGTTTTTGTTACTGTAGCTCTGTAGTATAATTTGAAGTTTGGTATAAAATATTGGCAAACTGCATAGAAATACACATCAAAAAGGTAGTATACCATAATCAAGTTGGATTCATCCTAGGGATTCAAAGTTGGTTCAACATACATAAATCAATAAATGAAATCTACTAAATAAATAGACTGAAGACAAAAATCACATGATGATGTCAATAGCCACAGAGAAAGCATTTGACAAAGTATAATACCCATTCATGTTTAAATCACTAAAAAAGCTAGGGATACAAGAAACATATGTCAACATTGTAAAGGTTATATATGACAAACCTAAGGCCATTATTCTGAATGATGAAAAACTAAAACCATTTTCTCTAAAAATAGGAATAAGTCAAAGATGCCCACTTTTTATCAATTTTATTCAATATAGTCTATGAAAATCTTGTCAAAATATAAGGCAGGAAAAGTAAATTAAAGAATACAAATAGGAAAAGTAAATCTCAAATAATCTGTTTCCCAATGATAAGATCCTATATTTAGAAGATCTGAGAAACACCACCAAAAGACTTCTAGAACTCATAAATTAATTTATCAAAGTAGCAGGATACTATAAAAGCAACACCCATAAATCATTCCTGTTCCTATTCATTCCAAAGATGAATCTGCTGAAAAAATAAATTATTAAAATTATATAACTCATTATTACAAGCAGAGTTTCTATAATAAAGAGTTACTGAATTTTTTAACCTGGTAAAGGCTTTTATTCTTTGCTACTTTCTTTCAATTCTTTTGTTTTGCCATTCTTTTAAGAATATTTATTCTAATTTGTTATATATGACAGCAGAATGCATTTCAATTCCTATTACACATATAGGGCACCATTTTTCATGTCTCTAGTTGTACAAAAAGTAGAGTCATACCGTTTGCATCTTCATACATGTACTCAGGGTAATGATGTCCATCTCATTCCACCATCTTTTCTTCCCACATGCCCCCTTCCCTTCCCTGCCTTCCCCTTTGCCCTATCTAAATTTCCTCCATTCCTCCCCCCCCCCAATCCTCAGCATGGGTCAGCATCCTCATTTCAGAGAAAACATTCAGCATTTGGTTTTTTGGGATTGGCTTACTTCACTTAGCATAGTATTCTCCAACTCTATCCATTTATCTGCAAATGACATGATTGTATTTTCTTTTAATGCTGAGTAATATACCATAATTTCTTTTTTTTTAATTTTATTTATTTATTTATTTATTTTTTATTTTTATTTTTTTAAATTTTTTTAATTGTTGGTTGTTCAAAAAGTTACATAGTTCTTGATATATCATATTTCACAGTTTGATTCAACTGGGTTATGAACTCCCATTTTTACCCCGTATACAGATTGCAGAATCACATCAGTTACACTTCCATTGATTTACA